TCAAAATACCTGTACGTGGTGAAATGGTTAGTAAGCTTGTCTCGCTAGATTAATTACGACTGAGTAGTAAGTTCAGTCCTCTTTTAGTGTTCCATACGTTTGGCCTCATGACACATGTAGACTACACTTACTAAATCAGAGCTAAGATCGCTATGAATTGTTACCAAAGAAAGAGCTACGACTTACCAAATATTTATTTGGACTCCATAGCAGGAAAAATATTTCGGAAGAATCAAAGTTCCTCCTTCGTAAACATTGATGTTAAGGAAAAATTCCAAGTCGTCAGGATGCTGTACTATGACCACTTGATTATTTCCTATATGTAATACACCAGTCTTGTCCGATACGAATTTGTAAGCCTTCAAATGGAAAGGTCTGTAAGAAGAATAAGAAAAATAAAAGGTTACAAACGCATTTAATGTAATTTACATATTTTAAAGTTATTTTTTAGGTAAATTTAATTTTTAAATAAAAACATCCAATACTGTACAGCAAGAAACTATCGAAGAGTTTGAAATATTTTCTTCAATTTATAAAAGCAGAAATCAGTGTTTTTGTTTATATATTTTGTTCAGTGACCGAAAATCTTATCTAAAATCTTTATCATGGAGTCTGATGTTCACATAAATACGATTTAGTTTAGACATAAATGTCGTAAAATGAAAATGAAAACTAATTTAGAATATTTTATTAATCACAAATACACAGAAATAATGGCCTGCATTCAATATCTGCCCCGTGATAATGATCTTTAAATCTGTTTTAGTAATGTGCGTCGAATCAAGGACTTTTTTTAAAATATCTATTTTCATTTTACGCGGGATATTGAAACGGTACTTTTTAAATGGAATTCAAAACAAAAACTTTTTAAATAGAAGCTTTTTTGCTTTTTATTATTGCTCCATCAACGTTGAGCACCTCAGTGTTTTGTAATGGCTAGCAAGCTTTTCTGGCTAGAATCAATTACGGTACCATACTTTCAGCCTTGTGCCACATCTAGGCTACACTTAGAAAATCACAACATCAAGACAATTCTGTAAGCGATGATGCTATGAGGAACTAAAGAGCGTTGATTTTAAACAGCCGTTTCGGTATTTAGGAACAGCGAACGTCCAAGTTTACTTTGTTGCAATTAAATATAAACATTTCTTTTTAATCATAAGGTGGGAATGACACTAGTGCGCAAGTTATTACAGAGTGAAATTGAAACAAACAAACAAAAAAACTGAGAATAGAGATGATTGGGTAAAAGGACTAAAGATGAACGGGATTCAAGACGATGGAAGATGACAATTGACGTTGTATTTAAACTTTTGAAGATTGTAGTTATTAGGGAAGCAAGTAAACGAAAGATTTTGTCATTTCATTCATAAATGCTGAAAGCTATAATTACAGCATTAGCATCAAAGCAACCTAGACTGATGTAAACTTGATAATTTAATCGCAATTGGGGAAACGAGTTCAAATCGAAATCGAAGTCGAAATTGTGTACATTCATATAACATTAAAACCATTGGTAAACAATATTTAGCACCTTCTTTTAATCATTTCAACTCAAGCAAGGCGAGAATGCCACTAGTACGCAGAGGGTTACAGGGAATGAAAATGAAAGAGAATAGAGAGGATTGAGGAAAGGACAAAAGATGAACAGGATCCAAGACGACAGAAAATGGCGATTGATGTTCCTTTTAGAATTTTGAATATTTGGTTATCAGGGAAACAAATTTTTGGAACGGATTTCCACAGGTAAAAAGTGCGACAAATCAAACTGTTGGAGTAGAAGCGGCGGTTGCATTTAGCTATTTCACCAGTAAATGGTGATCTAGATGTCAATTTAGTAGCAAGCTTAAATTAATGTAGCCGGGACATCTGGTAAGTAAAAGCTGATCAGTAGAGTTACCATGAAAATATTTGTAGAAAAGACAGAGGAAATCCATGACCCAGTGGAAGTGACTAAATTCGAGATGCCAAATCAGGTTCGATTACATTACAGATCGTTCTTTGGATTTTGTTAAGAACCTCAAGATGTACAACAAGAGTACAAGACCAGATATGGTAGCAGTATTCAATACACGGACAAATTGTAGAATTATATATGTGCATGATGAACTCTGTACAGAAAGATTTTCTGGTACGACACAGTGACAGAAATTTCCTTGCAGTACATACATCTATTTGCATAGTTTTCTTTTAACGTACTTTTATTTTTCACAAAATTCTTTGAATTCTCCGTGGTAATTACTATTTTATCTATGCTATATAAAGTCGTCAGTGAAATGAAAATATTTGTTAAGTTTAAGTAAATACAACACTAAGCTGAACAGAGCATAGGAATTTATGACATTCAATAGCATACTGACAGGTTTTGTTACCCAATACGCCTATTCCAGGTCTTCGGTTTGGGATCAATGTGGAATATCTGTTTTTCAACTCTTTCTCATATTTTTGCCTTCTGACAGTTGACGGAAAAGATTTGAGGGATGCCTGGTTCCACAGATTCTAAACATGCTGCATCACCTTCCACGTTGTACCAAAAATGGTGGGTTGATGGAATACTGACGTCAGCGTGAGAGCGGTACTGGGCAATTATTGGCCCTGGTCCATATATACGTATATAATCAGCCCACATTTAAAAGGACCTCTTTTCACATCCTTCGAGATTGGTCAATCTGTTCCCTATTGACCTTTGTTATATTGTTCTCGCTAACTTCATTTGTTCATAGTAGTGCACGGAAGGACAATGTATAGACTGTGGGCGTCCCACCGCACCACAGAGGTCTCATTAGTGCCTATGGTTTTTGCAGCAGTTTTTGGCCAAATAAAACATTCCCAATGTCCGACAAGCACCATATTCCTCAGATCTCGTCAACTGGAACTTTTTCCTCCTCAAAAATCAAAACAAACTTGAAAGAAAAAAGATTTCAAGACATCGAGGAAATGTAAGAGAATGCTCGATATTTCAAAATAGGATTTTCAGGAACAGTTCCAGCAATGACAATGGCGCCGGATACAATGCTTGGCTTCAGAAGGGTATTACTTCGAAGGAGATTAAATGCCGAATTCAATATATGTTTTAGTTTTCTTTTTATGGCGCCAATTCCGAAAGTATTTGATCAGACTTTTTGAATTAATTATTATAATTTAGTCTATACATCTCTTCTCAAACTATATCTAAGATCTGGTCTTGTCTATTCTCTCAGTCTAATCATATCTTAGTTATTATTTTTTAATTCATCCATCTTTTTCGACCTATCCCAGTCACCCCCGTTCATCCATGTCAACCCGTCCCAGTCAGTTCGTACGTCTCTGTCGGTGAGTTTTTAATCATGTCTCTATCGCGCTCTTCATCTATTTCTTCATACGTATCTATCGACTATAAAGGGGTGTCTTTTTTGCTATAATTATGTCCATTGGAGATTGGCCCCAACCTTTTTAATTCCTGGTACGATGCATATCTATCCTCATGCCCATGTAAATCTCTACATTTTTCCAGCCCAGTCTGTCCATATTTTACGTAAACATGTTCGCACCAGTGATTTTCGTTTGTTTGATCGCAGCGATTCCAATTGTTTTCAAGGTAGAATGAGTCTACATAGAAAGTACTGATAGAAAAATATTTGTCAAAACGAAAGTAGAAAACTTGCAATATATATAATACTTTTACAAATGAATGAAACACGAAGTCAACAAAATATTAGTAATTGGCCTATTATCTCTCTATCCATCTATCTCAGTCTGATCATTATCTATCTATTCATCCATCCATCGAGATCAACCCGATCATTATATATATATCTAGCTTAGCCTGATAATTATCTGAGCCAGATCATCATATATGTGTCATCCTGATCATTACCTAAGCCTGATCATTATCTATCTCAGCCTGATCATTATACATCTATTTTAGCCTGATCATTATCTATCTATTCAGTCATCGTAATAAAAATTGATAACCATAGAAATAAAGTAATTCAATGTTTCTATTTAAATATTGTTTCGTTTTACTCGTTTAAAATGTCCTACTGCAGGAAGGCACCATTGCTATGTTTCAAGATGTCGTTGGTGCTAAATATTGCAATGAAAACAAACCATAATGGAAGATTACCTTGTCAAGTTCGGGTGAATAGCGAAGTGAGCTTGTCTGGTGACATGGATAATATCCCAATATGGCGTATCATTGGAGAGGAGCCATGAATGACTACTGGCTGTGGAATAATTCATCAGCAAATTATTCGTCAATGCCTGGTTGTTATTATCAATGATAAGCGTCGTATTCTTTATATGAGGAATGTCATCCTGAAAGAAATAAAAGAAAATCATATAAATATTCATTTGAAATTCTTAGAGGTATTGATTGCTTGTCTGTTTAATGGCATATGGGTCATTTAATGCTGAAATATATTTACGTTGGGCGCTTTGAAGTAATAAAAATATATGTTATTCTGCTTTCACAGTTGAATACATGGTAAATGATACTCAGCTTTTGTGCGTATATGTTTGTGTGCTCATAACTAATAGAGACAGTGATATGTATACTTTTTGTTGTGTTTTCTTTAAGTTATATTTTAAAATAGAGTCTGATTTAAGAAATTATAGGATATTATATGGTGTAATGTCATAAGGTTATTTTATGTTGGTTATTTGGTAATATTTTACTACAATTTGTTAGTATGTGAGTATTTTTGGTAATTTTACTATAAGTATGTATTGTTGGTAATTTTTATATAAAAATATATTGCTGGTATTTTTACTATAAAAATGTATTGTTATACTTTCATAGTTTTTTTTCTTTGAGGTGTTACTATTTGCCCATAGCTGGGTCCACTACAGGTCAAGGTAGACCTGGGACCAATAGCAATTAAGAGAAGGTTCCATACTTCTCAAAACCTTCAATCTCCCAGTCAGAGACTTTCTGCGAGATGTAGTTTATCTTCATACCCAGGACTATCATAGATATATTCATTTATTCACAACTTAGAATAATATTTAATTTCTATTAGCGACTATTACGTTCCGGTCGATACCTAGGTGTATGGTTAAATGAAAAGAGATACTATAATCGCTTTCAATCTGAAACAATACTACAATCTTAAGAGTAATGGCGGCCGTATGAGTTAAAAACTCCATCGGCAATGAGAATATTTGTCCGGAGAGATAGTAGATTAAATTACATAAATGGTTAACGACAATTATTGGTTTAGAGGTTAGAACCTTCGTTTTCCGACTGTGGGACTCGGGTTCAAATCGATTTGCGGTTGAGGTGACTTATTTCAGCAACGAAACCAGCACGCGGTACCGTTGAAAAATACCTGGAAACCATACCCTACAGCGCATTGTGAATGGAAATGAGTAGACTGAATTGGTCTTCGATGGCTGTGCTAACACAAAATCAGAAGTCATCGTGACTGATGGTTTCCTTGTTCAAACTCTCGATTACGCCAGATGATGTGCTCTTATCAAGACACTCTAACTTAGCGATGCTCGGCATAGTTGTTGTATAAACCATAGGTCTGCGTTGAACAACCGCAAATTGTCGGCAAAGCGTCGGCAACAAGGATTGGCTAGCCACCTTAACCGATAGGTATACGCAGATACAAGCAGTCATCCATTATATTATTATTAACGCCATTACTATTTTTTCAATTTATATTTCTCCAACTTTTAAATTGTTATATATGTCGGATAATATTCATATTATCAAAGAAACTATTGTCTAATCATTCAAGGGTACAAAATATGCTGTATTTTTCCGAATTACATTATCAAAAATGTCCTCGGTTTTAATGTTGTGATAATTTGTTCTTAAACCACTGTATAAACGGTCGTTAACAAGAGAGACTGGGAAGCTACGAATTAATCATTTAGTGTGGATACTTAGCGAGAGTGTAGTTGCATTCTCATGCTGATACTTGAATATGTAAACAGAGAGCTTGACACTAGGATACAACTAGCAAATTGTCAGTGAAATAAAAAAACATTCTTCCGTTCTGCAAGTAAATTTGTAGTCATGTAAAAGGAGACAGCTCTTTAAGTATCTTTTGAAGGAAAAGAGCGGATCATTGCAGATCACATGGTTATGTAAGCAAAAACGAATTACAAAAATGAGTATGATGTAGGGGTGACCTTTTTCATAAACCTTGAACAATAGTATCTACGAATCAAAGGATGTAGTACTGATATTGACTGATCAATATAACAATTAGTTTTCATCCAAAAATCTATGTAGGGGAAACGGAATGCAGACGGAGCTACTTACCGCTACTGAAAACCCTTACACCCCTCTTTAGTGCGTTGTTTCTACAGAAAAAAAAAGTAAATAGCCAACCTGTCGAAACAGAGCCTGTTCGGACCAAGGGACGTTTCGTTATTATTTATTGAATAAATTATATAATTGTAGTAAAAAAAATCGTGCGGAAAGGCTGGTCATCACTATCCGACACCTAGCTAATCTGGTCCCCGATGAAATGTTCGGGACGGTGAGCTCAGCAGTGTTGACTATATAAATGATATAAATGATTCCGTTTTGGGGCTCCATAGGTAGTTTGACGTGTTGACCGTATAGCGGGATATCCGTGCGTTACCAATGATTTTTCTTCCTCTTAACCATCATTCGGTTGTCCTTGTTCGTGTTTTCGGTAGGTCGCCTGCGTCATGTAGATGTGATTTTCTCGTATGAAAGTCATGTTCTTGCCCTTAGTCGTGATACAGTGTTTGATTCTGGTGCTGCTCTGCGTTGACAGATACACAACCAATAAGAAAACCCGTTCAATCTGCATAAAAACAGGTGATCTCAGTCTTGTGACGTGATAAATAGACGAGAACGAAAATTTATGGTATGATCGAAGGACCGGAATAAGAATTCTGGGAGCCGAGTTTGAATTATCATCTTGTTTTTTTACATTGACTTACTCGCAAATACTCTTGAGAAAGGCATGGACCCATCTGTTCCCAATTAGTTATAGATTAAATAGTAGGAATTTATCTGGAAAGATCATTGTTCTAAAAAAAAAAAAAAAAATGTTAATGCAATATTCTCGCGTAAAAGAAATATATTTTTACAATCCAAAATGTTTCGGTTTTAAATAACACCCAAAAGTTTGGTAAACTGTAAAATATCAAATCAGTCGATCAAATGAAAGATCTGGTTGACAAAGGATGTCAGATTCTGCCTCTTCTCCCGTCGACATTCTGTTTTAGGCTTGAAAAGAATATCCAGGCCTGAAATTTGCGTTTAAGCATGAAATATATTGTCGCCGCTAGGTGTTTATCTCAGTGTCCACTTTTATATACGTTCTATCCCTGATATTCAGCACTTTAACCCATAAATAATATGGCATATCTTAAAACTATTTTTATCATACACACACACACACATTATATATATATATATATATATATTGAAATCAAGATAGCGTAATTGGCTGATCTCCAAAGTTTATATATAATGCTCGCTCCTTTAAACCTTGAGTATATCAGCTCATATATATATATATATAAATAGTTTTAAAAATAAAGAATGCATTGATTTTAATTCTAAAAGTCTCTAGGGCCCTTTCAGCCAACATCTCATCAGGAGACAATCGTTGGATTAGCGAAAAGAATATTAACGATATTGAAGAGCAAAAAAAAAGAGGGAGAAACACACTAAAATAACAAACAAGTGTATATACTTGTAACGAGGGGAGGGGAAATAATCGTGTAAATAAATTAGCGAGGGACAGTTAAAATAAAATATCCCCCAACAGATTCAGAGACTTTACAAATTTTTTTCTGCCGGCAGAGAGAAGGTTTTCTTAATCCTATACAGAAATTATATATATATATATATATATATATATATATATATCTGTGTGTGTGTTCTTAATCCTATACAGAAATATATATATATGTGTGAGAGAGAGAGAGAGAGAGAGAGAGAGAGAGAGAGAGAGAGAGAGACTTATGTTTATTTAAGTAGCTACACAATTGAATTGACACTACATTCTTGCATGTTTGAGTTGAAACCAAGCTTGTGTGTGTATGTGATAGAAAATGGAATAAATAGGAAACGTTTCTAATTTTAACGTTTCGCTTTCATTAAAGCTTCATCAGAAAATGAAAAATAGAGGAGAAAAAGAAAATTCTGGTATTTTTTTTTTATCGGTGAAAGAGAACTCATGTACATCTGTCATCTTAAGTAGCGTTCGTGTGTATAATTCTTATGTGTATATGTATTGTAATCCTAGTTTACTATGTAAGATTCGTATGATAATGTGTATTTTGTTGTGTGTGTGCGTATGTCTCGTAGACCTGTTTATTCACGTTTGAGTTTGTTCGCCTGTTGCCTTAGGGACGTTTTCTGTGAGGGTGAAATAATTTAAGTTACACCGGCTCTGGTTATATGTAGACAGTATGGCTTTTATAAAAGCTGGTGATAGAATAAAAAGGTTTTTTTGACGTGTGCTCATAGACGGACAAATATTTATACGTCCTATAAGTATATCCTGCGTAACGGATTATATTCTTTTCTTATGACTATGGCATTTATAAAATAGAAGTTATGGCCTGTTTTTTTTTCTGTGTATTAAGAGCGAGTTTAAAGGGTTGTCCTAAAGTAGGTCTCTCTTAGGTTCATAAATGCGGGCATTTAGATTTATGGATGTTTCGCCAATGTAACTTTTCCTACAGAAAGATATTTTGTCATAAATCCCGGCATCTGATGGATTTATTTTTTCTTTTATCTGATATTCTTGCAGGTGGTGTAAAGGCCTTAGTACTGGGGATAACGAGTTGGTTTTCAAATTTTATTGATCCAATTTTGGAGGGTAAGATTTTGAATTTTGTGTTTTGCCGTTGATAGTGGTGCCTATTCTTTTCTGAATTGTGGACTTGGTATAATCGTTTTCTAGCATCTAGTGAAATGACGGTAAAGTAATGGATAGCGGCTCGGATTGAGGAGTCGGAGAACCGAGTTCGAATTCCAGTCGAATCTATTACATTCACTTACGTGCTAATACCCTTGGGAAAGGTATGAATCATATGGCAACCTACTGCGGGAAAAAAATCAGCTTCGTCCGTCAAGTATCGAAAGATAAATGATCGCCTAAGCCTGTATCACGCATATCACATAGCTGACTGATAAAGAAGATTAAACGTTCTTTCAATGTATTTTCTCTTCTTCATCTAGGTGAAAATCTAGGATCAGTCTTGATTTTTTGGGGTGTGGTAGGAATAGAAGTTGATTAAATCCTTTTTGTTTGTGTATTTGCGGTAAAATGTTAAAATCTTATTGCATCATATTAATAGAATTTTGTGAACAAGCGCATACAAACAAATGCACATTATCATCCAAACCCTGCATAGACAAACTAAAATTATGATACACACAAACATTTCAGTTTTATTTTCTGATGAGGTCGTTTGTTTCATTTTTTTCCTGTTTTTGCCTTACTATAGTTATAGAGGTCACCGCATTTTAATCACCAATTTTGACCAAACAGGACGGTATATTTTTCGACCGAGATAAACGATTGCCTATATATTTTGCGAATATATATTCTTTAAAAAATAAAAAAAAGTCGTTTTTAAAATCATAAAATGTTTATTTTCAGTTCTTTTATTACTTCTACTTATAATTCTGCTTGTTACAAATAACAAATAGATGCAATATTAGTAATAAGTGAATATCAACGACTCAAATATTTTATAGATTAATATAGAAATCAAAGTAACTTCACGTTTCCGGTGAACAATATTATAAAGATCTCTTTTGATAAATTTCATGTAACTAGATGATTTTATCAAATCTCTCGTCAGTAAAACTTAAATAAGTTATAGAAAATCTACAAACCTTTAGGTAAATTGTACCGGCACCTCCAGGATTTGGCTTTCCCGTACCTCCAAAAGCCTGGAAACTTCCAAACCAATGTTGAAGATTTTTGTAAAACATTGCAATTCTTCCTCCACCGCCGGCGCCATAAGAAGTTCCGATTGTTTTCCCACCATTCGCCTTTTTAAAAAGATAAAAGAAAATGTCTTTTGGTGATAATAATGAAGTTTGGATGAAGGTAATCAAAGTATTAAACAACAAAAATGTAGTCAGAACTTAAGAAAAGAGTACTGAAATTTTATATAATATCACTCCTCATATATTGCAGTGAATTCAGGACAATTGCATCACAGATGAAGAACAGACTTGAGTGAACAGAAGTGCGGTTCTATAGAAAGATGCTGGGAATAAAATGGATTGAACACGTGAGCAACGAGGAAGGTGGTTTTTTTTTAGAGACAATGTAAACAAAAAAGAACAGATATACGTAACATCAGAAAGAGAAGGTTGCAATTTCTAGGGCACATAAGGTATAAGGGCTTGGAAAATTTGACACCCACAGGACATAGTGGAGGCATGACGAATAGAGGTAAGCAGATAATTTACCTAAGGAGACTGTGTCAATGGTTGGCAAAACAGTGATTGGGAGAGATAGCAAAAAGACAATTTATTCAGAGCTACAAAAGAAAGGAAATTATAGATCCATGATCGCTCAATAAGAATAATAATAATAAGAAGAAAAATAATAAGAAGAAAAAAATAATAATAAGAAAAAGAATAAAAGAAGAAAAGAATAATAATAAGAAAAGAATAATAAGAAGAAAAAAAGAATAATAAGAAGAAAAGAAAGAATAAAGAAGAAAAGAATAATAAGAAGAAAAAATAATAAGAAGAAAAGAATAAGAATAAGAAAAGAATAAGAATAAGAAGAAAGGATTAAGAATAAGAAGAAAAGAATAAAAGAATAATAAGAAGAAAAGAATAAGAAGAGGAAAAGAATAAGAAAAGAATAAGAATAAGAAGAAAAAGAAAAGAATAAGAAGAAAAAGAAAAGAATAAGAAGAAAAGAATAAGAATAAGAAGAAAAGAATAAGAATAATAAGAAGAAAAGAATAAGAATAAGAAGAAAAGAATAATAATAAGAAGAAAAGAATAATAAGAAGAAGAAAAGAATAAGAAGAAGAAAAGAATAAGAAGAAAAGAATAAGAAGAAGAAAAGAATAAGAAGAAGAAAAGAATAAGAAGAAGAAAAGAATAAGAAGAAGAAAAAAAAATAATAAGAAGAAAAGAATAATAAGAAGAAAAGAATAAGAAGAAGAAAGAAGAAAAAGAATAAAAAGAAAATAAGAAGAAAAGAAAAAGAATAAGAAGAAGAAAAGAATAAGAAAAGAAAAGAATAAGAAGAAGTAAAGAATAAGAAGAAGAAAAGAATAAGAAGAAAGGATTAAGAATAAGAAGAAAGGATTAAGAATAAGAAGAAAGGATTAAGAATAAGAAGAAAAGAATAAAAGAAAAGAAGAATAAGAAAAGAATAAGAAGAGGAAAAGAATAAGAAGAAAAGAATAAGAAGAAAAAGAAAAGAATAAGAATAAGAAGAAAAAGAAAAGAAGAAGAAGAAAAAGAAAAGAATAAGAAGAAAAAGAAAAGAATAAGAAGAAAAAGAAAAGAATAAGAAGAAAAAGAAAAGAATAAGAAGAAAAAGAAAAGAATAAGAAGAAAAGAATAAGAAGAAAAGAATAAGAAGAAAAGAATAAGAATAAGAAGAAAAGAATAAGAAGAAAAGAATAAGAATAAGAAAAAGAAAAGAATAAGAAGAAAAGAATAAGAAGAAAAGAATAAGAAGAAGAAAAGAATAATAAGAAGAAAAGAATAATAAGAAGCAAAATTAAAGTCTTTAAAAATCTTAAGAAGAAAAGATTAAGAATAAGTTTTATTGGCGGATCTGAAAAAGATTAAGAATAAGAAGAAAAGATTAAGAATAAGAAGAAAAGATTAAGAATAAGAAGAAAAGATTAAGAATAAGAAGAAAGGATTAAGAATAAGAAGAAAAGAATAAAAGAAAAAGAATAATAAGAAAAGAATAATAAGAAGAAAAGAATAATAAGAAGAAAAGAATAATAAGAAAAGAATAAGAAGAAGAAAAGAATAAGAAGAAGAAAAGAATAAGAAGAAGAAAAGAATAAGAAGAAGAAAAGAATAAGAAGAAGAAAAGAATAAGAAGAAGAAAAGAATAAGAAGAAGAAAAGAATAATAAGAAGAAAAGAATAATAAGAAGAAAAGAATAATAAGAAGAAAAGAATAATAAGAAGAAAAGAATAATAAGAAGAAAAGAATAAGAAGAAGAAAAGAATAATAAGAAGAAAAGAATAAGAAGAAGAAAAGAATAATAAGAAAGAAAAAAAAAGAATAAGAAGTAAAGAATAAGAATAAGAAGAAAAGAATAAGAATAAGAAGAAAAGAATAAGAAGAACAATAATAATAATAAGAAGAAACGAGCATAATAAAGACAAGAAAAATTACACGTCTGCAAAATTAAAGTCTTTAAAAATCTTTCACTTCTGATTGATGATGATGCGTCGTGGTCGTCGTATTTTGTGGTTTTATTGGCGGATCTGAATCAGGAAAAACAAAGAGGTAAAAGCCACACTAAATATCGGAAAAAGATCCTTTTCTAAAGTCCACAACAGGCTGTTCGACTGCAGGTGAAAAAATAAAAATTCTAGTACATTTTGTTTTCATGTAACCATGTCCATTGTTTGAGATGTTCGGTCAATAACAATTGGTCCTCTCCTACATTCACCGTCAACAGTGCCTTGCATGATGGTCTTGCATAAGCTGTCGTGCCTTGTAATGTGTCCAAATCACGCCATTGTACATTTAAGAACACATTAAAATAAACACATTTAGGCCGTTTTTATCATATCACATTTACTATTAACAAATAATCCTTTCCATGTTTTTTTTTCGTTTCAGATAAACTTATAGTTTCAATTCTTCTGCATTTTAATCGATGTTAACCCTTTTCCTGTCCAGGGAGTTTCAGTGTGTAATATCGTAATCTTCATGTTAGATTTCATATTTATAACTATTACAAGGCAAACCGGCTTATTTGGCAAATAGAATGTGCTGTAATATAGAGATTCACATAATAAAAAAAAACTGTGCATCACATGTGATCCGAAGGTTCTAATCATCTTAATAAATTACAAAAGTGTCTTTCATTTGAGACCTCGGGAATTATTTTGTTTATATGAACGGACTTTAAGATATATACATCATATATGACATTTTTGTTTGGTGTCAGGATATTTATACATCATATATGACGATCACAGGATATATATACATCTAAACACAGCGTATAGACAGACCGGAGATCAAGATATATATACATCATCGGGAATATATGACATCACAAAGGGGGAGCGGCACTAGATTAATCCTTTCCTCAGACGTGCGACGTCACCGTTGACTGTTTTCAAAGGATCCGACACTGGTCCTTAGTTTATAACTCTTTTGAAATCACGGTATTAAATTGTGCGAAATCTCTCGCTCTTTCCATGTCTACAAGCATTTTTCATTCGCTTTTATAGGGCAAACCGCACCTTCGACCATGTCGATGCAGTCACCGTTGGCAATTTACGGTGTCCGAAAAGCGATTTGCTCGAAGAGATCGCATTTCAACTTTTTCCTCTCTAGGGGATCCTCATGAAATAGATATCAGATTGTGGGGAATTTCCTGCTGAATCCATGAGTCAAAGAAATATTTCAGTCGCTTGTGTAGGGAGGGAGTGACCTTCGACGATACGGGGCCTCGTGTGCAACCCATATGATGTACGGACGTAGAGATCATATGTACTGTGCATCACATATGAAATGCAGGACAGGCAAATGATTAAATATATTTACGAAATCACTTAAATCAGTGCAGTCAACTTAGGATGCATCTTCGTTGAAACCTGGTGCAAAATCATTTTCTCTACTTCGCCAAGTTAGCCAAGTCCATATAAATAGTAATTTAGACTTTGCTAACCAGACGCTTTTCTGTGGCTGAATGGGTAACTGCACGTCAAGTCAAATGACAGTTGCCATAAGGGTTACATGTTCGATTCCTTTTGGAGAGCGCATATTTTCTATGAAATTTCTCGAAAACTCAGTCCGGTAAATTAATACTGTATAATTAAAAAAAAAAAACAAAAAAAAAAAAAAAAACAACAACAACAGATCATTTACTTTATTAATATCGTATAAACAGAAAATATATAAAATAATTATCTAATTTAATCCATTTCATATAATATATATATATATATATATATATATATATATATATATATATATATATATATGTGTGTGTGTGTGTGCGCGCGCCTATATTCATGTTTAATTCGTTTCTCTCTCTCATACATATATATATATATATATATATATATATATATATATATATAAAGGGCAAATCAACCCCAAGGCTTACTGCTGGTTTTCAAATCACTAACCTGAATGGTTCCCGATCCTTGTAGGAGGTCAGTTTTTATCCAAACACTTCCACCGCTGCCTCCTCCGGCCGTTGATGTCAGCACGTCCTGTCCATTAGCGCTGACCAGACCATCAACCACAAGTTTCCTCTTAATGGATAGTTTCATGATTCCTCCCCCTGCAACAAAACCAATCAATCATTGTGAGGCACAGAATACTAATGGTTGGTAAACGGGCAACTTGTAAACTCCTTCCAAGTTACAAACAGTGCAGTGGTTGAAACACTGGACTTCTAACTGAAAAGGTTCTGGGTGGTTTTGAGAAATACAGGTGAAGGAAAAGTCAAGCAACATAGTGATAATTTATGAAAAGTATAATTACATATGAACATTTTATTTGCTCGTTACTTAAATGTGCTGTTCAAAATGTTCTCATTCCAATTCCATGCTTGCAGGATTCCTTAACACGTCTGATAATTTCGTATGTCATTTTACTCTATTCATCTTTAACTCTTTCTTTAAGTTCCTCAATATTTATTGGGGTCACGTCTGATAAACAACTGCTTTCAAATGGCCCCCCAAAATAAGAAAATATCAAAACAAATTAGACATTTAAAACATGGTTAATTAATTAATCCCTATGGTGTGCGACTTTTTTCCTCTCTTTGTATATGAATTTAAAAAAAAAGAAAAAAGAGAAAAAATTGTCTGTGTGGTCATTAGAACATTCAACGTTTCACTTGGTTGAATTTCCGATTTTCTTTGGTAAATGGTGTTCGCGTTATGCAATGGTTAGCGACTTGAAAAGTGAAATCGGATGATCGAGTTCGAATTCATTTTGCAGAAATAGACCCTTGTGCAAATTAATTGAAACAAAACTAATTCCGTTATTATTTACTTTTCTTTCGTATTTTTCCAATGAAACATGGCACAGTTTCGATGTTAGTACTTCATATGCCCATTCCACGAAACCGTTCCTTGCAGATTGAGCAGAGATTCCCGATTGGATTTAAATTAGGTGAGTTTCTAGTACTTTGATTTACTTACTGGTAAGGCTTGCCAGTGTGTTAGTACAGTGTTTCAATTTTCGTTTGCTTCCTTGGAGTCGCATCCATCGCAGACAGTGGCCGTAAGACAAATAATCGACAGTCGAGACAATAGTGTCTGGGCGTAATAAAAATCTGATGCAATCACGGACGACGCGATATTTTTCAAAGCCAAACAAATTTCATCATAAACCCCGAAAATAGATTTATATTACTGCAAACCACTGCAAAAATAGAAATCGATTCACCCTGTCACGCCAGTGGGTATAAAACTGACCGAATGGTGAAAGAGAGGAAAGTAAAGCAGTTGTTTTAATTAATTTGCACGAGGGTGTATGTTCACTTTTACACAAATAGCATTGTGAAAAGGATGAATCAATCTTTCTTATACTATAGCTATGTGTTAAATAACAGAGGTGACTAAACTGTCTTGATTTGTGGAGGAACCTAGTCTAAAAAAAAAAAACTAACTAAATTCAGAACCGGCCTGAAAAGTGCTGGATTCCGTCATGGCCTCTTGCCCTTGACAAACAACGGATGCTATGGCTGTAGTACATGTGGTTCCATAACGACCCTAATGAGTTACAAGATTCGTGAAGTGACGTCAACTCGATGCGATATCTGATGAAGGCATTTTATTGAATTCATCATAAGCCCTAAAAATTGTAGTAAACTTTTAACACAAGTTTATAAAACCTCACAAAATAATCGATGACGAGTAGTTAGCCCGAAGCCTGTTAGCGCAATGAATCAGTAGGCTGTGTGCCAACGGGTTATGAACTTCGTGAAGAGACCTGACCTCTTCAGTGTGCGTAACCATGTTCCTTTCTTGTTCTTTCGGTGATCTGATACAATTTATGCTAAAATATTTTATCAAAGAGGCAACAGTGTTTTCCGAATCACAAACCCAAAGACCAGATGATATGAAGAAAATGGCTTGTAACAAAATTTTACTGAATTATTATATTGAAGAAGACCGATGACAGTACCGGCCAAAGCGTAAAAGGAAATATGTAACAATAGATAATAATATTGCATAGTGGGGTTGATAGTGGACATTTGGCGTTTTTTGGGGTAATGCAACAATTCATAGATGCTATGTATCGTTTGAAAGAAGATTGTTTCGCTAGTTCCTATTTAGTCTAATCTTGTTCTTAAAGGATTTGTCAAGTTATCATTTGAAGTTAATCAAAAGCATGCACACGTGCATCATTTCTTTTTAGATGATCAATTCTGGAAAGAGTCTGTCTATATTTCTGAGATGAGGTATTATGTACAGTATCTACATAAGTCGGACTATTGTCCTCATCTTTGTCGCCATATTTGTCACAACGTTTCGGCCGTTGTACGCTCCGGCCTTCTTCAGGTGGTTGGAATTTCGAACTGAACCCTTTATTTCGATCACTGGGGTAGACTGTTCTAGTTCCACGTGCCATGTTTGATGGATGTCAGTTATCAGTTATCTCCTGCTAATTTTCCCTCTGAAAGTTCTCCACTGCCTTAACCAGGAATTGAACTCACCTTCTTTGGGTCTGTCACTGGATCTAACCAACGCCTTTATCCACTGTGCCGAAACGTTGTGACAAATATGGCGACAAAGATGAGGACAATAGTCCGACTAATGTAAATACTGCAATTCTGGAAAGTTGCTTTTTTTGACTCTTTTTGTTTGGAAAGTCATTGAAGTATTCTTGAAATTAATGTTATACATAATAATAGAAAAATTTAACTTGACAATACGTCAAAAATTGTATGTTAGGGCCGTACAACATAGAATTCAGTCAAATTGACACAATTATACTATATTTTCCCGGCTTTTTTTTTTTTTTATCTCTGGTAGGCCAATTTTGAAGAATGCCTACAATAAGTGCCGTGACAAAATTTATTCACCATTTTAGTGTAAGCTCTCAAATATTAAAGCAATTTAAAATTGTAGAATGTAATAAAATTATTCTCGGTAAGATGTTTCATAATCATC